TGTTTGTATTCTGGATCGTGGGAAACGGCATTTCGATCTGTCTGTACACACAAACTGAAAGATTGACAATAAAGTTGACTTTGACAAACAACAGGACTTTCTCCTGTCATCAGCGTCCCATACATACAGGAGGCCTGTGTGTGCATGTAGATGCTGCTGACAGTCTATGTTCCCTTATAAGCTAAACCCTGCTGCAGGGCTGAACATTACATAAAACATGACGGTACATTATTTATCAGAGAGGCACACTCACCCGCTCCGCCGACTGCGCCGTGCCGAAGAAGATGGGGATGAAGGCGAGCCAGATGATGCAGGTTGTGTACATAGTAAATCCAATGGGTTTGGCCTCGTTGAAGGTCTCTGGCACGCCACGCGTCTTGATGGCGTAAACAGTGCATGTGACCATCAAGAGGATGCTGTATCCCAGCGAGCAGATGAGCGACAGGTCGGAGATATCGCACTTGAGGACACCGCGAGCGTTTGAGGGATCCTGCGTACGCTGCTCACCGTAGTCCACAAAGGTGTGAGGCGGGTCGGCGGAGAACCACACCAGAACGCCCAGAAGCTGGACTGAGATCAGCGAGAAGGTGATGACCAGCTGGGAGGCCGGGGAGATGAACCGCGGCGCCGTGACCGCCGTCTTGCCCTGCTCGAAGATGCGGTGGATGCGGTTGGTCTTGGTGAGAAGCGCGGCGTTACTAAAACACATGCCGAGGCCCAGGAAGATGCGTCGGAAAGAGCAGACGACCACATCGGGGGCAGCGATCATGGGGAAGGTGATAATGTAACACAGGAAGATGCCTGTCAGCAGCACGTAGCTCATCTCCCGCCCTGAGGCGCGAACAATGGGGGTGTCGTTGTAGCGGACGAAGGTGACGATGGCAAAGGTTGTAGCGATGATGCCGAGGATGGAGATGAAGACGGGAAACAGAGCCCAGGGCGAGCTCCACTCCAGCTTGATGATGGGGATGGGCTGGCAGCTGGTTCGGTTCTGGTCGGGTCTTTTCTCGTAGGGGCAGATCTCGCAGGTGAACTCGCTGGCCTGGAAGTGGTATCCCTCGCAGCGCTCGCAGTGCCAGCAGCACGGGACACCCTTCACCACCTTCTTCCTCTCGCCCGTCTGGCAGGGCAGGCTACACACCGACACTGGCAGCGAGGAGTCGCCCGTCGTCCACTGGAGGGTCTCCATCTGAGGAGAGAGGGGGGAAACACAACCAGAACCAGGGTTATTACCACATAGGTTTACTCATTTCATCTGTTTTGATGTCCGTATGTTGCACTGTTGGAGGAGCCTGTGACTTAAGTGTTTCATTGCCATATCTACACCGTAGCT